TTGAACAAAATTGGTGAGAGATGCCAATGGAACTTCCTTGGTATTAATTCTACTAATCATTCTTCCTATTCATCGAGAGTTGTCGAAGCGAAAAGTACCAGGGGTCTGGAGTGGCTTCAACAAAAACCACAGCAAAATCAAGATAAACATTAATTTATCTTACAGTGTAGACACAGATAAATTGTGATTTAGAAAATTCGATGCCATTTGAATTGATTCCTTAGGGAAAATTAATTTCTGCTTTGTAATGCATGTGATACCAAGTATGACACCCGATATTTAAATTAATACTATTAAATTTTATTATGGTACTAAAGAAAAAAACATATGTAAATTCTGCTGCTTTTGTTCCAGTTGTCAAGACATTGTTATATTTCATTTAAAAAAAATAATAATGTAAACATGACTCACACATAAAGAAAAGATTCCCATAAAAGAGATCATCGAAACTGTTGAAAAGGAGGCGTTGATCACTTCGGTCCACTGGGGAGATTCTTCAGAAAATAAGGACAACATCTCGACAGAAGAAGTTGAAGCACTAAAATCACCGGCGACGTACACATTTCCATTGAAAAATTCAGCTGCAGGATATACCCTCGAATGAAGCATGGGAGTGATTTCACACCAACTGCCTGCAAGTCCATGAGGCGATGCAGTTGTCAAAAAGATTTCAGCTTTGTCAGCACTCTGTGTTAAATTACTTATTATTCCACACCCTCTAACAGCTATGTCACCAACACTGGGGATATGTGCTGGTCCTGTTGGCATTGCGGGCAGTTTTCTCCATCTAAATTTTGGAAGTATGAAAAATTCAAATGATACTTGTGGCTTAGTTACCTTCGACCTATATGTTCGAGCTTAAAATCAGGCAAAGTCCAATGTCTGTTTAGATATATATATATATATATATATATATATATATATATGTGTGTGTGTGTGTGTGTGTGTGTGTCATTTTTGATATTGATTGTGTAATATGTTGAATACATACATATGTAAGTCTGTCTATCATTTACATTCATTGAAACTGAGATTGTGCTTCACCAAAGCGTATGGATTTGAATTAATTGAGACGAGTGAAACAAGTCTGAGGCAAGTTTTGAAACATTCTCAAGAGCAAGTGGTGAAATTTAATTCCGTTTAAGCTTCATTTATTAATATGCGATAAACGTCGATACGTAAATTTAAGCAAATACTAATTAGTCTTTTGTTTTGGTCATGTTTCAAATAAATTGCTTTTATACTAGCTGGTGTAGATTTGCCAGATATTATATGTTCAAGAATAGTCGCAACACCAACTTGGAAAAGAGAAACCCTTCTCATATGTTCCAACTTTGAGGGTTTTCGTTATCGTCATTGTGCAATCCAATAAATTTCCCATTATTATTTTCTGTCTGCTTTTCGATATTAAATTGCCAATCACATTATCGATTACAGTAATATTGCATTTGATGGCGTCACAAGATAAAGTCAACTGATTCTCGGTGCTTCAAGAGGCTCATGCATAGTTACCAGGCCAGGCACCGGTGTGTCTTGCCTCACGAGGTCATCCTTGGGATGTGCGATAGACTTACCTCCACGTGGTGCACACTGGGCAACGTATACTCATACGGCAAACAAGTCTATTAACCGGCAGGTGACTTCTGACTTCAAACTGCCATGACCCCACAGTATGTCATATTCGACTATTTCCACAGTACTCACCTCACCTTTTTTCCAACGTTGTGTCTGTCTCTTTTACATCTGTGAAACACTCTTCTGTCCCCCACCCCATCTCGATCTTTTCACTTTGATGTTCCTTCCCATCTGTGAAGCCTGAAGTCAACTAAAGGGCTAATGATAGCCATCAAAACGTCTGCCATTTGATATAAAGAAATAAATAACTGTGCATAAAACAACCTCAATTCAAAAATCAAATGGCACTCATTTAATATTTTAACATTGTTCTCATTCATTCGCGCCCCAGCCATTTGGATTAGTTTTTATCTTCAATTTTTTAAGTTACTTTGCTCAAGGGTATTAATACCTCACCTTAAAAACAAAATGACCTTAACTGTGCAATAAGTTAACCAATTAAATGGAATCACCATCCTTTGTGTAGCTAAGATACGGTGTTTAAGCGCACGTTTTCTTACTGCCGTTTTATTGTGTCAGCAATAAAATCGGAGGCTAAAATCATGTGTTGTATAACTTCTAGTCACTTCTCTCTCTCTCCCTCCCTCCCTTTAACGTGTTCGGCACATCGTTCAGATCCGTATGGTTATCTTTGTCGGAGGGGATGAATGACTGGCGGATAGAAAGCAATACTTTTCGAGATATTAAACAAGTCTTCATTCCCTACTGTGTGGTGAACAAGTTAGGGGGAGAGAGATAGGGAAAGTAGTAACCAGGAGTTATACAGTTTCGGAGCAGGAAGTCTATTAGTCCACAAACTAGGATGAAAAGAAGTAGAACTGTAACAAAGACGAATCAACGAAGTTGAAGAGTCTACATGGAGCTTTCATAAAGCTGTTAAAATGCAATTAAAACAGAAGGTCGTGTTAAGGAGCAGGATCAGGAGATTCGATGTTAAATGTTACTAATTCCGAAAGTCAGATCAGTTTAAAATTACCCGAAAGGCAAGACATGCACATACTGAGAAAGATAGAGAGGTAGTTTTGACACCAATAATGTATTAATAATAAAAGAAGCGTTTTACTTTTGTCAGGGGTATTGCACTTGCTATCGACATAAGCAGCACCACTTTTGGATCCGGCGAAAGCGGAGGCGGATACAGTACCCCTACTCGTCGTAGCGAAAGCTCCAAGATCGGCGCTGGTGGTAGCTACCACGGGC